TTAGGTTAGGTTAGGTTAGGTTAGGTTAGATTAGGTTAGGTTAGGTTAGGTTAGGTTAGGTTAGGTTAGGTTAGGTTAGATTAGGTTAGGTTAGGTTGCAGACTGCAATCTTTGCACAACATTTTCAAGCGTCCAAAAATAATATTTTAATTAATGGCCACGGGATATACTAAGCGTCTTGCAAAACGTATTTACAAATTTAAACTCGTACAACAATTTTACATGCAGACGCAACGTGAGTTGGCAATGCACGCTACTTATCACTTGTATTACAACAGCAATCTGTCATTTAAAAATATTTGGACTACAAGCAGATCAGTATTACCACAAATTTCTAATCAAGACGTTCTTTGTTAGTTTACGTGCAGTTAGAATCTGAGGTTCTCACTACGGAGAGTATGAATATGGCTGTCTTCTGAGTCATAGCGCCGTGTAGTCTGGTAGAAGTTTACCAACGTTTCAGAGGTCCCTGCTACCTCCATCATCAGGGCGATAAAGCGCAAGAACCTCTGAAACGTCGGAGAACTTCTGCCAGACTGCACGGAGCCACAACCCAATGACAGCCATCTTCTTTACAAGCAGTTGTATTTATTATTGAAGTTTCGTTTTACCTAAATAAAAATCAGAATTAAGTCAATAAAATGTTCTTTATGGATCTTCCACCCGTATACATCGGCAAATCCCTGGTTTTTATTACGACACTCTGGATTACGATGCATGATACAGATAATAATTCTCAGTTTCAAATTGCCATGATGGATAAAATAATAAATTAATCAATAGATACCAAGCAGGTCGCCGACGCCACCTCCACTACTGTCCTTGAAAGATAGTGGATAGATCTGGTAGAACACAGTGGTCTGCCACCAGTCCAACTCTGCCTCGGGCTGCTCAGGATACGGGCTGACCCCAGCAATTATTACCAGGGAAACCAAACACCACAGGATTCTCATGGCGACTGTCATTAGTGTCTGCACAGTGAACTCGGTTTATATAAGATGCTATTGTGAAACAAATCCAGAATTTTGTTACTACGTAACATGATAATTACTGTTCAAAATATACAGATAGTGTTTTTCTATTGTACTGTCTCGTTATCATAACAAATATGTTTATTAGATCATTTTGTGATATGGTCTTAAGAGCTATGATCAGACAACATGCAGTGGGGACACATGAAATCTGAGTTACGGGAGAAATGTTTTGTAAGATCTGATTAAGCTACCAGACTTCGCGTAGCTGTCGTTAAACACGACAACAAGAAATACTTCAGTGCTTCACACAGATTTAGATAAAATCGTATCTTCGGTGGCCGGTAAGAATTTCTTAATTCAGACAAAATGTGTATTGGCCAATGTCCGAAGATATGTTACTTCCTCTGACACTCTGTATAAAATTGCTATCAGTTTCACTGAGTAACAATTTTTCTTTTAATTTGATAATTACTCTATATCTTTCCATTTGATTCATAATTCGCGTTAAACAGTGCTTGAACTCGGACAATTAATTCGTTCAAAGTCAGCTTGACTTTCATGCTAGATCACTAGCAGGACGATACTTAAAAGACTATAAAGGTCCACTCTTTTGAGTACACTGACTTTCATAAGTTATTATACACTAGAGCAGAGCGCTCCTTTCGGAGCTCCTCGGGGGGCTTGGGGGGGGGGGAAAGGTTTTAAAATGTTTTAAAATCTTGAGTAAGAAACTAA